TTGTTTGTCTCTTCCCATGGCATGTGCTGCACAACCTTGCTCTTTTTTGCTAGTATTCATATTTCTGAAATCCTTTCACTTCCTGTAGAACAGCTAACCGTGCAAGGCATATGCCAAGTGTCCATTGGTGGTAATGAAAGAACAGAGTGTATGGGCCATGACAGGACTGCAGCTCTGCTATGTCTGATCTACAGTGAACTGCTTACTCTTCTTCAGTAAGACCCTGACATCCACTTGAAGCAAAATTGTGGAGTTTTTTAAGAACAAAGTGCAAGGAGAGCCCCAGGAAAAATTAACATGAACAGAAACATTTTCATTTCTCTTTCATGCAATCTTCCTTTCTAAATGTCAGTGAAACATTTCTTTGTGGTTTCAAATACACTTTTCTGCCTGCACAAAAATTCCAGCACACAAGTCTGTGGTAGTGCATAACAACCCAAAAGTGGATAGTGGCTACAGGAGCCAAAGGAAAGGGAAAAATAGAAGAACAGGGAAACTGCAGACATAGTGAAAACTGAATTTAAGAAGCAATTTTAGTTTTTAAATCTATGTTCTTTATTACAACCCCCAAAAATCTCCAAAAGTATCTTTCAGACACTTAACATTATACAGCCAGATGGTAGAGCAGGATGGCACCTTAGAGACTAAGGGTCATCTACATATTCAGTTAGCATGGCTGAATAAACTCCTATACAGCTTGTACCAGTTTTTTGCTTCCAGGCACAGCATCTTCACATGTGCCTGGGACCGCACCACATTGAGCTGGGGCAGAGCAGCCTCAGCTGTCAGGGAGCTTGGGGGATCAGCCTTCCAGTCTAGGGCTTCTCTGCCCCAGTTCAGCGTGATGTGGAGGGGGTGGCTGGAGCACAAGTGTGCTCTAGTAACCAGCAGGCAGCCACCACACTGTAGCACCCTTGTGCCTCAGCCACCCCAGTCACCATCTACACATGCATTACAGCAGCATAAATTACTCTGCCATGGGATAGGATAGTACTGCCAGACACAAGCACTAAGGCAGAGTTAATTAGTTTACTGCATCCTAATAGTGTTGCACATGTAGACAGTGATGTTTTACATTGAAGCTAGTTAGGTAACTGCAATAAAGCGCATGTGTAGACCTGGATTCGTTTTCTCAGAGACCTTTCTCAAATGCTCATGGTTTCCTAGAAGGGGGATCCTAGCATTGTTTGGCTTCAAGATTTAAAGTGCTTTCCAAACTTCAGGAATTTTTAAATTTTGATACATACTAATAGTCTTATCATAAAGAATATTTTAAGCCCATGTTCAAATTCTCACCACCTAGAAAGCTCTTAAGAAACCTGAAATAGTTTTCTCTCCCTCCAGTGAAGGAAGGTAGGAATGGGAAGTCCAAAGAACAGGTGACTTTTACGATTTTCAGGGCCATGGAAGGAAAAAAAACAGATAAAAAGACTTTTGGGTAAAAAGACTCCTAACTAATCGATTCATTGTGGCACCTTGTTGGATGTCTCAGGATGTTGAAAAAGCCCCTTAGGGATGATTTGATGGTCAGACCCATGCTAGGAATGTAACAAGAATGTATAAGAGACGTCAAAATTGTTTCCCTGAATTAAGGTGTAGCTTCCTAAGAAGCTTGGAACTTGACAGTCAAAGAATGTGGAAAGTGAACTGAAATGGTAATGCGCTGATAATGCAAGAGAAAGAAATAATATCTAGTTGATTGCATTCATGTCTGCGCCTGTGACTGGATGGTTCAAAGAATAACATATGTTTAAAGATGTATGTTTTCAAGATATTATACATAGGTTTGTGTGTCCCGGCACTTATCCCCACTATCAGTCGGGTTGACATAATTACACAATGGATGGACCACCTAACTGACAGTGAATAAAGGCTATTTGGTTTGTATTTGTTTTTTTACTCGCTGGTAAACCTGCAGCAAGTGGAACTGGAAGAAGGGTCCCTGGAAGTTGCAACATACTTGAGAGACAAGCTAGTTTCTCTGGCATCCAGAATATCACTGATTGTGTAACCATGTGCTATTCAAAATATATAGGAGTAACATATAGTGGGGAAATGTGGAAGTTGGAGAAGACAAACTGTAATGGGAATGCAGCCCTCGGTGACATCCTCCTAAACTGTGATGAGGAAGAGTGGATACACAAGTGTCATTTTTACAGAAGCAGCACGTTTTGACATGGCTGCCTTGTTCTATGTGTCCATGCACTCTCATCTGCTCAAAGATATCATGTAACTGACATGATACAGTAAAGAGATGGTATCTAGAAAAGGTGTTTTCTTCTAATACTTTATTCATTTTCACTAAATCACCAAAAAACAGGAAATGTGCTACTGGAACCAAAAAGCAATGAAGTAAACAGAAAATGAAAGAGGGAAAATCTTGTGAACATGAAAATGATGAAAGAAATGCTTAAATACTTAAATTCAGAGACATGGATGGAAGACACAGCTATTCACTAAAGACCTGGAACAAATTTCAACCTCACAAGTTCTGTGTCCAAAGACAAGGGAGCAGACAAGATCATCCTCATCACCATGTCTACAATGCGTTTGCTGCACATTTGCCTTGTACTGCTCTTCTCCGCTGAAATCTCATCACAGCACTGCGATTTGCTTAGCTTCCAGCAGAAGAAACTAAACAAAGATAGCTTAGAGCTCCTGGAGAAAATGGGGGGAAATTTTCCCTTCCAATGCTTCAATGAAAGGACTGATTTCAAGTCCATGCAAGATGTTCTCAAGCTCCAATCGTCCCAGAAAGAGAATGCGAAGTTGGCAATTCAGAACATCCTCCAAGAGATCTTCACAGTCTTTAGCAAAAACCTCACACAAACTGCCTGGGGTGAGATTTCCATCATTACCTTCCAAAACAAACTTCACCAGCAAATTGAGAGACTGGAAGCCTGTTTGGGTTTCCAGAAGGAGAAGGATGGAACCAAGATGGGAAGTGATGGTCTAGTGCTCACCAAGCTGAAAATCAAAAGATATTTCCAGGGAATATACAATTTCTTGGAAGAGAAGCAGTACAGCCTGTGTGCCTGGGAGATCATCCGCATGGAAATGACCAGATGTTTTCTGCTTGTTGACCAACTCACAAAAAGTATTTAAGACTAAGGTATAGTACCAACATTTTTTGTACAGACTGCCTGAATTAGCATTATACAGGTGAGAAGAGAAAATCAATCATGTAGTGACTCCTTGTTTCTAAGGCCTAATACCTCCTCATGTAGTCTCTGGCTAAACCGATTGAATTGTAACTTAATTTAGATGCAGGGGCATCAAAACTTGCCTTTCCTCTGCTGGAACTGTTTGATAATTAAATGAATTAAGGACTGTTATCATGATTTTTAATAACTGTCACAAGAAGTTCTTCTCACAATTTAAGCCTTAGATGCTTCATTCAGACACTGAAAATATGTGCAACCTTTCAGAAAACCAATAAAATTGTTATGCCTAGGAAAAGATATTTCCATATAATTTTGAAACACAAGTCATTGTATTCCTTTGTGCTTCAACCATTTCCCATTTTTCATTCCAGCTCAAGGCTATTGCACCTACCAGTACTATGAAAACAGCCGAATGAAACTATCTTGCACTTGAATCTATTTTGACTGCCAACTCATCCAGTGACTTTTTAGAGTCCTTCACAACACTTTTGGTTATGCGACTATGAAATGGAACCTGCACATCATTCATTGTATATCAAATACTGTATTGTAGTTTTTAAAATAGAAGAAAGAACTCATAGCTGAAGAGCCAGAAAACATGACACATTTTGGAAGGATGGGATGCACCTTAATGGCTTCCGGCATTTTATGTATACTGTATATAGGGGCTCTTTTGCACTTTTCTGATAAAATAATTGCTTAACTGTAACATGCATTGTCATTTTCCTACAATATCAGATGGGAGAGAGACTTCTAGCAGTCCCAAGAGATTCTCATCCCTACAGAATACCAATAACTGAATGCTAATCTTGCAATGAAGGGGACTGTTCAGCATTTTCTACACCCTGTAAACCCTCTTTGAAATAGTAACTAAACTGAGTGAATCTTTACATGCGAAGTCAAATATGGCGAAATTTTATAGATCTATCGATCAATCTATCGTTACTCTTTGTCATCTTCCTGTATTGATGATACATACTTTCAACTCATTGTGCTGGAGTTTATGCCTATATGTTTATTGCATAACAACTGCTTAGTATTTATTTATTTATTTATTCATTCATTTATTTATTTGTTATTATTTATAATAGCTATTTAATTTTATTAATAAAGATATTACCTTTACATAATGGGAGCCTAAAGCAGCAATGATTTCTATTAAATACACATTTAGAAACAACCACCAATCTATTAGTAGATAAACCTGTTTTGTGCTCTATCTTAACACCATGACTCAAAAACCTGTGACTGGGGTCTGGCTGGCCCTCCAGGCATCCCGCAGTGCATCACTCATCAGCCCTCCCCCCCTCCTCTGACCCCAGCTTCTGAGTTCTCAGGTCTGGCTGAGCTTCAGCTTGAGTATTTTTCACTTTTCTGCTGGAGCTGTGGCTGTTTTCATTTTCCCTTCTTTTCCAGATGGGAGTTCAATATGCTTCAATTGCCTGCAACTGATTGAACTCAAGAGTGGTGCTTGCCTCAGTTCCACTAACTTCCACTGTCTGCACTTGAGCACAGTCCACAGCATGCCAGACTGCTTTGGGGTGTGGGGGCAGGCTGGGGGAGGAAATGGACACTGGCTTCTGGATTCACAAGCTAAGGAAGTACAGGTTGGATGAATGGACTGTAAGGTGGATAGAAAACTGGCTGGATCATTGAGCTAAGAGGGTAGTAATCAATGGCACAATGTCTAGTTGGCAGCTGCTATCAAGTGGAGTGCCCCAGGGTGTTGGTCCTGGGGCTGGCTTTGTTCAATATTTTTATCAATGACTTGGAAGTGGGATGGATCAGCAAGTTTGCAGATAACACCAAGCTGGGGGGGGAGAGTAGTAGATAGGTTGGAGGGTAGGGTTAGGATTCAGAGAGATCTTGATAAATTGGAGGATTGGACCAAAATAAATCTCATGAGGTTTAATAAGGACAAGTGCAAAGTCCTGCACTTATGATGGAACAATCCCATGCACCAGTACAGGCTGGAGGCTGACTGGCTAAGCAGCAGCTCTGTAGAAAAGGACCTGGGGGTTACAGTGGACAGTAAGCTCAATAGGAGCCAACAGCATGCCCTTGCGAAGAAGGCTAATGGCATACCAGGCGCGTTAGTAGAAGCATTGCCAGCAGGTCAAGGGAGGTGATTATTCCCTCTGTTTGGCACTGGTGAGGCCACATCTGGAGAACTGTCCAGTTTTGGGGCCCCCACTACAGAAAGGAGGTGGACAAATTGGAAAGAGTCCAGCAGAAGGCAACAAAAATGGCTAAAGCAGTGGTCTGCAACCAGTCGATTCTGATCAACTGGTCAATCTTGGAGCCTTTTTTAGTTGATCCTGGGCTGCACTTGGGGCAGGCAGTGGCAGCGCTGGGAGAGATTCAGGGGGGCTACAGCAATATTTTGGGTGGCTGCAGCCCCCCGTAGTCCCACTCCCAGCACCACCACTGATCGCCCAAGTGCAGCATGACCCAGCCTCCACCAGGAACAGCCCAGCCCTAGCCCACAACTGCAGCCTGCCCCACTCCACATGCAGATCTGGGGGCATGCCACCCCCCCCCCCCCCCCCCCCCCCCATGTCCTCCCAAGGTGCATGTCCCCTCCTCCCCGTTAGGGCTGGGGCCTCGATCTTCATCCCCCATGGCCCTTTCTCTTCCCCCTATCCCTTCCCCCACAGACTTACATGCTGGGGGGGGTGCGCACCCAAATATTTTTTTCTCCCTCTACCTTGATCTTCCCCCTCCTTTTCTCCCCACAGACTAACCTGTGCATCACTCATCAGCACATCAGATACTCAGGTACAAAAGCATTAGATGCAGGTGTTGCCATGGATGTAGTCTTTCTGCAAGGCCTTTGACACTGTTGACCACCCCATCCTCATTAAAAAACTAGGTGACTGTGGCATCGATGCCTACACGGTCAGATGGATTACGAATTGGCTGAAGGGTTGTATGCAGAGGGTGGTGGTGGATGGGTCATATTCGACCTGGGGGGAAGCGGGCAGCGGAGTCCCCCAGGGCTCGGTCCTTGGGCCCGC